TTTGTCTCCACCCAGTTTCCAGTGTCTACCAATTGGTTGGCCACAGTGCACTCACCAGTGTTCAATGGGACATTCTAAAGGTTTGAAGGAAATGAATCTGTCAGAACCGTTTTGACCTAAATGTTTCATAAAAAGAACTCTTCAGTATTTACTTTGCAATGAACCAAGAAAGTCTGGGAACCCTGACCTGTGACCTTTGACCAGTCACATCCCTCTAGACCAGTGTGCTTCCCACATCTGAGGGGTTGGAGATCTCTAGGGTCCTTTTCTGCTGTCTTCCTGCCCTCTGCACGTCTGCCCCTACTTAAGGCTGGCCTAGTTTGTCCTTCCCACATTCCTCAGATCAGGACCTTCTGTCTCTGTCTCCAGTCTCTGCCAGTGCTCTCCACTTGGCTAAGTGCCATGCATCATCTGTGAAGCCCTTCCTCACCACCTAATTTGTCATGAGCCCTTTTGCCATTCCCGTGCAGCTGTCTGTCCCTGTCTAGAGGCGCTATGAGAAGAGGAATCATGCTTTGCTGAGTTCCCTGCTGGGCAAGGCCCTTTGCCACATTGGGCCTTGTCTGCCAGAGGCGCTCCCAGAGCCTTCATGGCAGTAATCCACCTGTAACCACTTCCTTTGCAGCACTGCAATGGTGTGGACTGGCGGCAGAAGCTGGACTCTCAGCGTGGGGCCGTCATTGCCACTGAGCTGAAAAACAACAGCTACAAGTTGGCCCGGTGGACCTGCTGTGCTTTGCTGGCGGGATCCGAGTACCTCAAGCTTGGGTGAGATTCCTGTCCTGCAGCTGTGGGCCGACCTGGGAAGATGAGTGGGGAGACAGAGGCTTGTCTCCTTTTTCCTTGGGAAAAGCAGCAAACCAGCTGTTACTGTTTTAAGTGACATTTGACCCTGAGTGTTACAGTCTCTGACCCCTCTACTCCAGCCACTAATCTCCCCTCCCCCACAGTTATGTGTCTCGGTACCACGTGAAGGACTCCTCCCGCCACGTCATTCTGGGCACTCAGCAGTTCAAGCCCAATGAGTTTGCCAGTCAGATCAACTTGAGTGTGGAGAATGCCTGGGGCATCCTGCGCTGTGTCATCGACATCTGCATGAAGCTGGAGGAGGGCAAGTACCTCATTCTGAAGGACCCAAACAAGCAGGTCATCAGGGTCTACAGCCTGCCCGATGGCACCTTCAGCTCGGATGAGGACGACGAGGAGGAGGAGGAGGAGGAAGAGGAGGAAGAAGGTGTGTGGCAGCCTCTCTGAAGGCTGCATGATCTGTGGGCTGGCAGGGGAGCAAAGCAAGAGCCTTGCTTACCTTTAACCTTGGCAAAACTTCATGGTGTGTAGTGCTCTGGGACTTAAGTTTGGAGTAGCTGGCATTCAGTCCAGCTCCCAGAGCCTTCTCCAGAACCTTTAGATCACAGAAGGGGTAAGGGAGGGTAAAGTCTTGTAGTGAAGTAAGGGAAGCTTCTGGAGAAGGCCCTGAAGTCCTTGCTGGGGTCTAGAGGAAGGGACAGTCAGCTCCAATTAGTTACATAGTCTGAAAACTCTCACCAGCCGGTGACTGTAAGTGTCTCAGCGCAGTGAGCATCTGAGGCTTGAGGGCTGAGCGGGATTATTGAAATCTCCAGCAGTTGAGCAAAGGAAGGAAAGCGGGTATCTCATCACCTAACATGGCTTACTTGTGTTTGTGTTTGGTGTCTTTCAGAGGAAGAAACTTAAATGAGACAGCGACGTGGAGCTGGAGTCCGTAACTCCACCAAGCCTAGAGGGTCTTTCCCCAATGGAGTGTTTGTCTGGCTCCTGCTCCCTGATGGGCAGCAGATGGAATAAAGTTTTTCTGTTTAGTCTCTTCATAGGCCTCCATTCATGATTTACAGCCTTTCCTTCTCCCAGCACCCCTGGGAGAGGGCGGGGGAGAGCAGCAGTTAGTATCTAGAGCTTATACTCTGGGTCCCAGCATTTGTCCTTGAGGTTTACATTCCTGTTGGAGTGAATGCCTAGAGTGTTTGGTTCTTGGAATCCCTTGAAATGATCCCGTGATGGGTAGTTTTGTCAGTTTTGAGGAAACCATTGAGGTCCCCACTTGTTCGCACACAGCACACTGGCTGTGTGCAAGACCCAGCCACTGCCCTTGGGGAGCTCATTGCATCTGAGGCGTGGGGGCCACAGATCTCTTGTACAGATTGTGTGGTAGGTCATGGGAGATGGGGGTGTACTTTTGAAGAGCCTGCCTCAAGATTTTCAGGAATGTTCCTCTGGATGTTGATTTGTAGTGGTTTGTGAATTGTTTCAAGCTTGGCTTGGGCTCGTGACAAAAAAGCTAGTGCCCTTAAAGAAATGTGTTGTGTCATAAGAGCTCTGGATGGTTAGGCTGTGTAAACTCTTAAGTGGATATTTACTGTTAGGTTCTGGACACTGAAGCAGTTACCCTGCCAAAATAATTAAACTTCTATAAATATCTCGCCTGAACCTCCTACAGAACCAACATGAGTGGAAATACTGCATTGTATACATGAAGAACAAGGCTCAGCTTTGGGGTAACATTCCTAATCAAAATAATTGAGCCTCAGAAAGCAAGCAAGGCTGAGCAGAGTGGCAAGTGCCTGATCTTAGCTACTCAGGAAGTGGAGATGAGAAAGATCGAGGTTTTGAGCCTGGGCAAAAAGCTAGTGATACACCCCCCATCTTGACCAACAAGCTGGAAATGATGGTGTGTACTACCTCTGGCAGAGGCAGAGGTAGGAAGATTGTGCTCTGAGGCCACCTGGACAAAAAAACAGGAGAGCCTATCTGAAAAAAATCAAAAAGGGATTGGGGCATGGCTTAAGTGGTGCAGAAAACATCCTTTAGGGAAGTTTCGATGCAGAGTGCAAAAAAGTATAGACAAAGTGTGACAAGTGCCATGGAGTTTCAGGGTTGGATCAGAATTCAAATTGCCTCTGTCTACCTGTGGCCTGGTCCGGCAGTGTTAACTGAAACAAGCAGGTGGAAAGTATTGTCAGGATCATTCTCTACAATATTTTTCATGAGCTTCCACTGCGTCTGTTCTGTATGAGGGAGGCTGCCAAGCCAATTGCAGAAAACCACTCAGCCCTCAACAGCCTCCTACTCCCACTGTTCACCAAATAAGACAGCAACTGTTTAACTCCAGCAGCCATTCTCAGTCTTTACAGCCACTAAGAAACAGACATCCCTAGTTTTTGGTGAGGTATTTTGCCTAGCCCCTGTGGCTTCAGACAAGTGCTTACTGCAGAGTGCCGTGTGCCAGATAACAGCAAAAGCAGTGAGGTCACCATAGTGACCACCAAAGGCAGTTTCTGCTGCAGTGGAGCTTTTCTGATGTGACTATAGGCTGTGACGAAAACACATCTAGCATTCCTGGTGGAGGTTTTTCTAGAGCAGTGGCAGTTATGCTTCTTAATGAAAAATGCTCCAGCTGTGCAAAGTTGAAAGGCCAAAAATTCTTACCACGCTGTGTTCCCTCAAGAACTCAGCTCAGCCCTGGGCTGGTGGCTGAAGCCTATAATCCTAGCTACTAAGGAGGCAAAAATCAGGAGAATGTGGTTCAAAGCTAGCCCAAGCAAATAGTTCGACAGACCCTATTTTTGAAAAAGAACCCATCCCCCAAAGGGGGGGCTGAAGAGGTAAGCACAGGCATGAGACCCTGAGTTCAAAACCCAGTGCAGCCAAAAGAAAAAAAAAAAAAAAACTCAGCTCACTCCACTGGAGCTCGATGTCCTTTGGAGGTTAAGTGCAGGTGTACTATATCCAGCCCGTGTAGATCTCATGCAGAGGCCACATGCCTTTCCTGGGAAAGCCAGCCTTCCTCTCGTGTTGCCCTAGGTAGGTTTCAATCCTTCGCTTCATTTAACTGTGTGAGCTTCTGCACATGACGTCACCCCTAAATGCCCATTTGTCCAGTCAGCTACATGTTGGAAAACAGCATCCCTTGCGCACCCCTCCTGGTTGCTAGACGATCCAGTCAGTCGTGTGTTACTTAGTAAGAAGTGTGCTGGATCACTGTAGCAAACGCTTGCTACTTGGTTTATCTGCCCTGGCTTCACCACCCTGACTTGCAATCCCACACAACTGGGTAGGCCAACTAGCTTTATTTAGTCTGGGTACGTTAATGCAGGAAGATAAAAACTAGGATTTTCTCCAAAAATCTGCTCTCATTGTCACATGTGAAGAGAGTTTAAAAACCAGGGTTCCGTGCTTCATCCCGGATCTAGTCACTATCCCCGCCAAGCCAGCTGGGACGCGCCAGCTCCAGACCCCTCTGCCGCCCGGGACACCGCACATAGCACGTGCGCACGGCTCCCGCGCCTGGCCCGGGGCGGGTGGACTGCCAGCCGGTCCCGGCGTGCCGCGCGCCGCGCACGTGACCCCGCCCCCTGCCATTGGCCGGGCTGGAGGGGAGGAGCGGGGCCGCGCGCGAGCAAGCCCGTGGGCCTCACTCGACTGCAGCCCGCTCTCAGAGCGGCCGCGAGGTCCGCGCTCCGCTGGGGCGGCGGCCGGCGGCGCGGAACAGGAGCGCAGCTTGGGCACCGCGCACGCGCCGGCAGCACTTCCCAAAGCGCGCGCTGTGGCGGCAGGTGTGCCGGGGCATCCCTCCCTCACGTGACCCGGGAGGCTGGGGCGGGGGACCTGGAACGGGGCGGGGCCTTGTAGACCACTCCTCCTTCGGGCTCCAGCCGGAGGGCGAGGGCGTGACCAGAGAGAGCTGGACCTCTTGCGGATCCAACCTGGGGAGGACCTCCAAGGGTGTGGGGTTCCTCTCAAATGAGGGAAGTTGGGGGGACCTCCACCTCTTCCCCAGGGTGGAGACTGCCATGACAATAAGGAGACTGACACTCCCAGGAAAGCAGATGCTGAAGGAGATGAGATGTAGGGGTTCGGAGCTCTGGCGGGCACCTTGGAAAAGACAAGAGTAGGAGCAGGTGGGCTCTAAGGTCCAGAGGTTCTAGCCCTGGCTCTGCTTGGATTGCTGTGCGTCTCAGGCACGCCTCTGCCTCTTCCTGGGCCTCCGTTCCTCACACCAGGCCTCGAGGTGCGAAGTCTCCCCTCTGGTCTGCCGCAGGATGGGTGTCCTCGCCACGGCCACGCTGTGGACGCTCCCAGGGCTGCTCCTAACCCTTGCCCTGCACCTGGCCCTGTGCTCCCGACCGCACCGAGACTACTGCGTGCTGGGCGCTGGGCCCGCGGGCCTGCAGATGGCCTCCTTCCTGCAGCGGGCAGGCAGGGACTACACGGTGTTCGAGCGCGCGCCCGCTCCGGGCAGCTTCTTCACGCGGTACCCGCGGCACCGCAAGCTCATCAGCATTAACAAGCGGTACACCGGCAAGGCCAACGCCGAGTTCAACCTCCGCCACGACTGGAACTCTCTGCTCAGCCACGACCCCCGGCTGCTCTTCAGACACTACTCGACTGCCTACTTCCCCGACGCCGGCGACATGGTGCGCTACCTGAGCGACTTCGCAAACAGGCTGGGGCTCCACGTTCGGTACGACACAACCATTGTCCATGTCACTCTGGAGAAGGACTCACAGGCCTGGAACGGCCACTACTTCGTTCTGACCGACCAGAAGGGCCAGGCGTACCAGTGCAGGTAAGGAACGGCCCCTCTGGGCTCACCTGCGGAAGCTGGGCACATCCCGGAAGGAGGACACCCATGAATTGACCTGGAGATGTGCGGGGAACGGGAGAAAAGGGGCACATCCTTGCCCCTACTAGAATTCAGTGCTAAGAGGGTCAGTTCTGCCACCATTTCTCAAGTGTCTTTAAAAAGTTGTGGCTGCGTATGTTTGGGATGCTAACGATTTCTTTCCTTCAGGATCTGTCAGTCTAACGTCTCAGGTTCACCATGATGCTGAGGTGCTGAGTACTCAGCATAAGCACAGCTTCTGCACCCACAAAATCCTTCCTGTAGAATATCTCCTGGATCTAGTGTTCCCCAAACTACACGCTGGGAAATGCTGGAAAATGCCAGCATGAGACGGTCCAGTGGGATTTCAGAACTGAACCAGAGTGGGCTGCCCAATGCGCTGTGAATCTAGTGACCGGTTTTGGCTTGGGAGACAGCTTAATATTGTATGGGCACCCCAAACTTGTTTAATATTCTCAAGGAACCTGTGGGGGTAGGGGGATGCTGATCTCCATTTGACAGATGAAGACCTGAGTTCCAGAGAACTTGAGTAAGTGCCACACAGCTACTACATGGTAGAGCTGTGATTTGAGCTTTTTCAGGCTGCCTCTCCCTTCCTGGCCACTGCCTCACACCTGGCTCCAGGCAGGTGCTCAGCTAGTGGTGCTCATCTGCTCCCGTGATGGGGGTGCTGCCATTGCTCTTTGCCTCTTACAGCCTAGAGAAAAGGGGTTGTACTGATTTGTACTCTTGCATTTTAGGCAGCTGGGCTACAAAGGAGGGGATTCGGATAGGAGTAGAGCAGACAAGGATCAGAAAACAAGCATGGATAGGGCTGTATGAGCCCCTTCTACTGGCCAGTGAGTCCTGGTCAGGTCAGCCCATCCTTCTGCAGGCTGCCAGGATCCGCCATCTGGCTGCCCACCACGGGACTATATCCCCACCAGTCTGAAATCTCTTACTCTTGGAATCGGACCCATCTGTGTTCAGATCTGGCTCTGCTGCGCTCAGGCACTCCGAGGCCTGTGCCCACAGGGCTTGAGTCTCCTCACCTGTAAAGCAGGCCACGGAACACCAACTCCAGGTTGCTTTGAAGAGAAAATAAAATGATACACAAATGCATGAGCACAGGGCCAGGTACAGAAAGAGTGTCACAGTTGTGTGTACGGGGCAGGCAATCAGAAAGAGGAAAAAGCCTCAGATTCCATTCCCATCACTGAGGCTAGTATTTGGTCTGACTGCTGTGTTCAAAGTTAGGTGAAATCTGGTAGTTTCCCCTAGCATCACCTTCTCAGGGAGCAAGATGAATCTCTACATTTGGTATAATTGCAGTGAAGCGTGAAGGAAAATGTATCCAGCCCACTGAGAGCTCGTGGGAAGCAAGGCTGGGATAGACCATTAGATGGATGAGTGGATGAACAAATGAATGATCACTGTTTTCTTTTAGGAGCCAGTAGTCAGGGTGAGGCAGATTGGTGAAGAGAGATTTTTCAGTAAGTGATCTAGCAAAGAGACTGAGCTGGCTTTCCTCTGTCCCTCCCTGCAGCGTCCTTCTGGTAGCCACTGGTTTGTCAGTCCCCAACCAAGTTGACTTCCCCGGCTCTGAACATGTGGAGGGTTATGAGTCTGTGTCTGTGGACCCTAAGGACTTCGTGGGTCAGAATGTGCTGATCCTGGGCCGTGGGAACTCAGCCTTCGAGACGGCAGAGAACATCTTGGGTGTCACAAACTTTGTCCATATGCTGAGCCGCTCCCGGGTGCGGCTCTCCTGGGCCACCCACTATGTTGGAGATGTCAGGTATGCTGCAGCTCTCTCTGTGAACATATTCTGTACTGTAAACCCCTTATCAGTGCGGGTTTTGTTACTATCAGGAAATACCTGAGACCGGGTAACTTATGTTTTAAAAAGATTTATTTAGCACACAGTTTCAGAGGCTAGAAGCCCAAATAACATGGTACTGACTCAGGTAAGGGCCCTGTGCCTGCATCCCCCCATGGCAGAGGGCATCACAATGACAGAAGCACATGTGAGCGAGATTGGCCACTTGGCAAGTCAGGAAGCCAGAATGGGGAGGGGGAGGGCTTGCTTCTTATATAGCATCCCTCTAGCTAAAACTAACCAGGGTCCTATGAGAAGAGAACTACCTTTAACCTCTTCCAAGGGCAGTGCCCCAGTGACCTCCCACTTAGCTCCACCTCATAAAGATCCACCACCTCCCAACATCACATCACCAACCCGGGCAAGCTTCCGATGCATGAACCTTTGAGTGACAGGCCCCATCCAAACCCTAGCAAGCTACAGCTATGGGAAAGAGACTCCTCCATCACCTTCCCTGGCCCCTGCTAGGCTAACTAGCCCTGCTCTGAGTCCCCTTGCACTCTTCTTGCCTGTTCTTTGGACCCCAGAGCCATCAACAATGGCCTATTGGATACCTACCAGCTGAAGTCCCTGGACGGGCTTCTCGAGTCGGACCTGACAGATCTGGCCATTGTGAAGGACCACAAGGGCAAGTTCCATATCACTCTGAAGTTCTTCCTGGAGGAAGCCAATGCCAGCCAAAGTGCCGACTCCATCACCCTCCCCCAGGATGACAATGACAACTTTGCCATGCGTGTGGCCTATGACCGAGTCATCCGCTGCCTGGGCTGGAAATTTGACTTCTCCATTTTCAACTAGTGAGTCCAAGTGAGGGAGGAGGTGGGGGTCTCCCAACAAACCCCTTCTGGCCCTCCCTAGGGGAACAGGGTGACCATTCAGTGGCCAGAGACAGGCTTTCAGGACAGCACCTGAAGAACACAGGTGGGCACTGCCTGGCCTCCCTCCCAGAACAGGAGCTCTGTGTCTACTGCAGGTCCCAGCTGGCCCTGCCACCCTGCATCCTGGAGCAGCAAGGGTCTTCATCCAGGCTGTGAGCCTCCGCCTGCTAGATGGGTAGACTAGCTCAGTCAGGTGTGCAGTTGTAGTACAGGGCTCAGCTCCAGGCACTGAGAGTCTCTGCTTACCTCGTCCATGAGCTCTGGAAGGTTCCTTTCCACGCTGTGCCCCACTTCTTCATTTCCACAGTTTCTTACATAGTTATTGTAAGGATTAGTGTAAGAAACTGCTTCACACACGCATATACACACACACACTGGTTTTTTTTGCAGTACTGGGGTTGAATTCAGCCTCAGGCACTTTACCACTTGAGCCACGCCCCCAGCCCTTTTTGCTTTGGTTATTTTTTGAGATAGGGTCCTACTTTATGCCCAGGCAAGCCTAGACCTCATAGCTAGAATGACAGGCACACAACACCACACTCAGCTTTTATTGGTTAAGATGGGGTCTCACCAACTTTTTTATTATTTTTTTGCTCAGACTGGCCTCCACAGTATTCCTGATCTCTACCTTCTGAGTAGCTGGGATTGCAGGTGTAAGCCACCGTGCCCAGCAGCTAAACTCATTTATAATTGTATTTTGAAGAACTGCTTTATGGAGCCTGATCTTTAGATGTTGTTGCCCAGTAACGTGAGGCTTGGGGTCAAAGCATCCATCCAGTCACTTACTTAGCCCTGGCCAGGGCACCAGAAGAGAACAGCTTGCTCAGACCCTCCTTCCCCATCAGGTGGCGGCAGGTCCCGGTCTTAGTCCAGAGCCAGCCTTGGGTCAGACTTGCCAATGTCCTTAACCTAAGCCTCAGTTAGGTGCCTATTAACTGGAGATGATTAGCTGCACCTCCTAGGGTCACAGTGAGGTTATGAGATGAGGAGTGTAGCCCACAGGTTTAGTGCCAGAGCTGGAGTAAGAGCTGCAGCCACACAGGTCTTGTGACTAATGTCACTTTCTACTGCCAGCTCCCTCAGACTCTCCTCTGGAAACGAATTCAACAAGAAGTACCCGCTGATCAGAGCTAGCTATGAGTCCAAAGGAAGCCGGGGTCTCTTCATCCTGGGGACAGCCAGCCACTCAGTGGACTACCGGAAATCCGCTGGAGGCTTCATCCACGGATTCCGATACACAGGTGAGTTGGCTGAGAGGGCCACTGTCTCCAGGCAGAACCACCATCATCGTCCCTCGGGTTAGAAACAGACATGCACCTGACTTCCGGAAGCATTAAAGAGATTGCTTATCAGCAGTTGATTGCCATAACTTCCCTGTCTGTGGCAGATGCCCACATTTTCATGGACTGCAGATGTGTCCAGAAGACGTATCAGATAACGCATAAAGTTAGGTACATCTAGGAGTGGCCTGTGACGTGCTTCAGGCCTGTGCAGGTTCGAGTCTACTAACCTGGATGGGTGATCTCAGAGGCCCTGGTGGACCACTCAACCCTCATAGGCTGTCATAAAGACTAAATGTTGTAATACCTGGGCACCACACAGCTGTGAAGTATCACACAGCATCTGGGTGCTGCCAGATTTCAATAAAAATGCTAACCGGTTCCTTTTCAAAACTCTCAGGACTGAAGGTATAAATTTTCTCCTAACTTGAGAGCGTACATAAAATACTAGCAACATTTTAAAAAAAATAATTTGATTTATTGCATGAGACTAATCCCCCAGCAGAAATTGATACTTTGTGATTTTAAGGATCAGAGGGAAAAGAAATCAAGGAAGAGAGATGGATTCCATATGTTGAGTCATTCGGTAGCTGAGTGCTATGAATGCAGTGCCCCCAGCTGGGAAACCTTCATTTTTTTTTTTTCAAAGAAATATCTAAAAGTCAGAGGTTTGATGATCAATTATTAGTATACTAACTAGTGGCCACATTGGTATTACTATGAAAAAGATAATTATGAGTGTGTGGGCAGTGATAATAGCACAATAAACTTGATCCTCTCCTAAGCAGTTGGTGAACGGAGGTAAAGGGTAAAAGAGTTGAACAAGCATCCGACTGTGAATCTTAGGCCAAGTCCTGAGGTGAACATTCATACTGAATTGCAAATTCAAAGGAGCTGCGTCAGTTCTGCTGGGGTTTCCCCTGCCTTTCTCCCCTCACTGGAGGGAGAGTCAATAATAGACAGCTGGCTTAGGGATTTAGCTGTTAACTCAATTTTCCTGGGGCTGGATTCCACTAATATGGTAAGGCTTTAGCTTGAAGTGTTTGATTTGCATTTAATTGAGGTAGGATCAAGCCTGGTAATCCCTTCTGCTTGCAGAAGGTACTGCTTTAGGGCTCAAAAGGCTCTTGGGCTCTGTGACCCAAATTCCTAGTCCAGTGTCAAAAATGTTGGTGCCGGGGAGAGAGAAAAAGTTGACAATATGGCAAGCGATGGTAGTAAAAACATTTGGAGGCTGTGGTGCGGATCCGGGTACAGCACCTGCCTGGCATGTGTAGGATCTGGGTTCAATCCCCCACATCCAAAGAAAGAAAAGGTTGGTTCTGTATTTTCAAATTGTCATTTTGTTTTTATGCTGTTGGTTGTTGGAAATATTGTTAGGATGTGAAATGAATAAATCATATGTAAAAGTAGTAAGGCTAGAACAGTGCCATCACTTTTTGCTAGTTCTCAAGTAGTGATTCATTTGGGTAAAAGTTCTGTGAGGCAAGGCAGCCTTCCTAGGGATGAGAGGTGATGTGGATTACAGATTACCAGCGGTATTCTGGGTGTGATCATAATAACGGGCTATTTATAGTGAAGTTAAATATTATAAATACTGTGATTGCTAATGTGATTTAAATCATTGTTTTCTGAAGAAAAACCAAGGGTTGGTTGTTTCCTCCTGGTCGTGGGAACTGAAATCCATAACTCAGAGCCTCTCCAGACACCTTCTCAAAGCTGTTCTCTTCTGGTTTCTGGAAAGCAATTCTGCAAATGTGAGCTGTTCCCTCTCCTGTCGTTAACCTTCTGGCAAGGCATAGTGTGTTGAAATTCAGTCAGTCAGGTAGACAGTACTAGTTATTAGTTAAATAAGTCCCCAAAACATTGGAAAATACAGGAGGAGGGGACATTGTTCCATATTCTGCCTCCCACAGACACTCAGTGTTTCCTTTTCCATTTTGTTTTTTAAAACAGTAAGGCAGACTTTATTCAAGAAGGGCCATGGCGACAGGTATGCAGCGCCAGTGGCTCACACCTGCAATCCTCGTGTTACATGCCAGTGTGAAATGTTGTGGGCTGGTGTTGAGGGTCTTACCTTCACAGGCCAGAGAACTGGCTCATGAGGCAGCTGATTGACTCGTGAGACAAGGCCGGTACACAAAGTAGGATTTATTAGAGAAAGAAAAGCCTACAGCTAGAGCAGTGCAATGGAGCCTGGAAACCGGTGGCCCAGGTGAAGGCTGGGGTTCTTTATGGACGCTTTAACTCTGGGTTAGGGTAAGGGTTAGGTGGGTTCTTTTCATTGTCCATGGATTTGTGTGCAGGCTCTCTTTGATGAACTGGTCTGTTTGCCCCTTATGGGGGGAATCAATCTTGAGAGCATTCTGTTTATCAGCCCCATGGCAGATTTATGAGGCCATGTAACTCCTCCCCAGCAGGCAGAGCTCATAGTGCTCTCCATGGACCCAACTCTAGCTACTTAGGAGGCTGACATTGGGAGGCTTGTGGTTCAAGGCCACCCAGGCATATAGTTTGTGAGACCCCCATCTCCAAAATAACCAGAGCAAAATGGACTGGAAGTGTGGCTGGCTCAAGTGATAGAGCGCCTGCTTTACAAATGCAAAGCCCTGAGTTCAAACCACAGTCGCACAAAAAAAAAAAAAAAAAAAAGATATCCAGTTAAAATTGAGTTTTGTTTTTTTTAAATCTTTTCTTTCTAATTTCCTTTTTTTAACTTAAAAAAAATAATTTTTTCAGCATGAAAGGTAAGAGATGTAAACAAATTCACTGTCTAGAAACCCATGTGCTATGCATGGAGACCACACCTCCACCTCCCTTACCGTGGGTGCTGGTGAGAGCTGAGCTGGTGCCGGGAGCCACAGCCTCTGGCTGATATGGGCGTGGTTGGTACTCACAGGACGGCCAGCCCTGGAAACCAGCTGTCGACCCCGAATCCCCAGCTGCTTTTCGAAACAGGAAGGTGGCAGCAGAAGGAAGGCCCCACTGGTGGCCTCAAAAGCCCTGCACATAGTAGCACGTGGGGCAGCCCCTGGGCTGGCACCCACTTAGTGGGTCTTGTATTGCCTGGTGGCTGCTGCATAAGCCACTTAATTTTGCCACAAAACCATGAGATCCTGCATCTGTATCCTCGGGATTCCATGCTTCCCATTGTCTGAGTGCTGGTGTGTGCATTTCTCTATCCTTCCAGCTTGGCAGGGAAAGATAATCATGTTTTGCCATTAATTTCCAGACGATACATTTTATTCCCATGTGTGCTGTCAGGGAAGAGGACCTTAGCCATCTGTGATCCCAAGGATTACCAGTCATCGTGGTTCCCAGGCACATTGCCTGCCTATCCCCGCTGGCAGGCAGACACTGCCCCATCTCTCTTGGCTCCTTCTATGCCCTGTTCTCTCCCTAGCTCACAACTTTCATCCTTACAACAGCCCCAGGAAACAGCTCTTAGTACTTCAACTCCACTTTTCAGATAAGAAATCTAGCTGTCAGAGAAGTTAAGTAACCTGCCCAAAGTCAGTCGTGGCAGAGGTGAAATTTGAATCCACATCTGTCCAGCTCTACAGCTCACACCTAAATGCTAAGTTTCAGGCAAGAGGAGAGCAATCTTTGTTGGGTGGGCATCTGACTGGTGGTCACTAAGGAACTGCCAGCCCCCCAAGGGTGAAGGACACTGGTTGGCACAGTAGGGCCTGGCCTGGATCTTGCTCCTCATTCTGCTGAGAAACAGCCCCAAGCAAAATGAGAGTAAGGCAGAGTGAAGTGACAGAAGATAAAGATGGTGGCATAGACACCACTGTGCAGGAGATAGGACCCACTAGAAGCCCTTCCCACTCCTTCCTGCCTTGCCTTTACCAAGTCAGGGCCTCTTCGTCTTTCCTGACTGGCCTTCCTGTGTTGGCCTCTCTGGCTTCCCACCCAACCACATGGTGCTCATTGAAACAACCTTGCCTTAAACAGAAAAACCCAAACTCTCATACTCCTCTTCATACAGTTCAGTGGCTCCCTTCTGTCCCCTTAGAGACTCCTCAGCAGGGCATCCCAAGCTGTGCAGGGCTGCCCCAGCTCAGCCTCCATGCCTCCCTATCTCTTCTCCATACACACCCTGCCTTCTCACACACAGGTTGTTCTCCAGACTTCACGTCTTCCACGCACAGTCCCTTTGTTCAGGGCACCCTCCCAGCCTCTAAGCGATGGTTACTCTGAAACCTCTGTGAAACTCAGCTCAACCAGCGTCCCATCCAGTAAGGCTGAGTGTCTTCACCGGAGCTCTGGGCCCAATGAGGCTCCTTACAGTGCTCTTTCTGTTGGTGTCCTGGCCTTTCTTGCATTTGGGAGTTTGGTTGGTTAATTTTGGAACAGCAAGTGTCTGTGTGTGATATACAGCAGCCCAGGTGCATAGAAAACCACCACCCGCCCTGCAGTTGCTCTTCTCCCTTGACAAAAATACATAAAGCTGCTCAAAATAGGACTTGGGACAGATTGGATTTGGGCCGTGAGAGAGGGAAGCGGTCAGAGATTGTCCACGTGGGTGTCTGATGGAAATGGCTGTGGGGAGCAGGGAGCTCTGTCTGGGTTGGATGTACCCAGCGTGAGGTGGCTGCAGTGGTACTTGTGTATGCAAATGGCCTCAAGCAGGGGTGGACATGCTCAGGCCTATGGTGTTAATGTAGCCCCACCCACTCTTTTCCTGATCTCTGTGGCTGCTTTCACCCGAAGGACCAGATAGAGTGGTGTCTTTGAGCTGTGGATGGCCACAAGCAGAGAACATTTGCCACTTGGCCCTTTATGCACAACTTTTGCTGAGGCCTGCCCTTTCTCGAGGCCTGGGCCTTGCTCACCACAAGTGAAAGTAAAATCTTCAGCATGAAGGCCCTTCTTCCCTCTGGCCATTTCAGTGCGTGCTGTCCACCGGCTCCTGGAGCATCGCCACCATGGGGTTGCCTGGCCCTCCACCGAGCACCCCATCACACAGCTGACCAGCTCCATTGTCCGGCGTGTGAACGAGGCTTCTGGGCTGTACCAGATGTTCAGTGTGCTGGCTGATGTCATCCTACTGAAGGAGTAAGTAGCCCAGCCCCATCCACCTCCCCTCTGCCAGGCTCCACCATACACCCTGCACTGCACTCCTCTTCCTGTTTAGTTCCGAGTAGCCCTGTTGTTTCTTCCCAAAGGGGGAGGGGTGCTATGGGAGTGGGGAAATCTATCCTGGTGCAGGAAAGGTAGTGAAGTCCATACCACAGGTTCTGCAGACAGATTGTCTGGAGTGTGAACCCTTTTTTTTCTTATTGTGTGACCTTGGATAAGTTAGTTAGTCTCTCTCAGCCTTTCTTGCTTCATCTGAAAACTAGGGATTGAAGGCAGCATTTGGCCCCAAGTAGGCAAACAGTAACAAGGCAGCCATACAAGTTCAGTTCCCAGAGTCCTTATCAATCAAGCGGTAAGTGGCAGATCACAGAGGACACACGGTGCCTGAGAAGGACACAGTGTAGAGTACCTGGGGAAAATGCTGGAGGGGAGGCCAAGAGGGCCCTCAGAGGACTGGGGAGGCAGAGAAAATGCTCCCGCCACAGGGCACTACCTCATCTAAAGCCAGCGATGCCCCTGAGCACGAAGTCCAGGTCACAGAGAGTCCATGTACTCAGTTCACAAACCTCACTTCATCCTTGACACCCTCTCTTTCACATCAATGCCCAAATTATGAGCAACCCTGGCAACTCTACCTTCAGAGAAGCCTAGATCCAACCAGCTGTCACTGCACATCCCTGAGCCTCCCACCCACCCCGATACAGGCCTTCCACCATGGCTATGGTATGTCCTCCATGTGGCCACCAGGTGGTCCCTTTAAAAGAGGTCACACTGATGTTGTCCCTGCCCCATACTCTCCAGGGACCAGCAGAAACCATCTCAGTCCAGTGAAATCGAGCCTCCCCCCATGGCACACCCAGCCCTCTGCAGCCACCCCATTCTCTCTACTCCAGCCGCCCTGGCCTTCTCCCTGGTCCTTAACACAGCGAGGCCCTCACCCTCCCAAGGGCTCCTTTACTGTTTCTTAAACCTGGGGCATGCTTTCCTCAGATGTCCCTTCCAGGTTGCACAGAACTTTCTGGAACCTATCCCAGCCAGCGCAGCTGTTGAATCTGAGGCATCAGAGCTGATCAGTGTCTGCTCCTGGATTGACACTTGTCACTGGCAGGAAGACTAGATGTACCCTGCCCCTCTCCTCTCTGCCTGGCACTGAGCCCCTGTGCCCCTCCCCCAGGAACGCCATGGCATTTGAGTACCTGGAGGAGTTCCCCATGCAGATGCTGGCCCAGCTGGAGACCCTCACAGGGAGGAAGGCGCGGCATGGGCTCTTTGTCATCAATATGGAGTATGGCAAAAACTTCTCTGGGCCCGACAAGGACGTCTTCTTTTACGACCGGTCTGTGGGGCACACGGAAGATGCCTGGCAGTCTAACTTCCTGCACCCTGTCCTCTACTACTACAGGCACCTCCCAACCGGTGAGTGGGCCTCTGTCCTCCCCAAGCACAGCCTTTCTGGAGCTGGCACTCCTTGGACCCCACTCTATAGTGTTTCACTGTTAAGCCTCACAGAATTCCTTCAGCTGACAGAAGGGGGGACCCCTTGGGCGCTCTGCCCAGAGACCAGATGGGGGAAGAAGGTACAAGAATGATCAATGACATTTCCAGATTCTGGCATATACTGTGACCTGGATGGGCCACACTGGAGTGTCACTTTCTCCAGATACCACCTAGTAAGAGGACACTGTTGTGCTATGGAGTTGCCAAAGGAGGCTGGGGCAGAGGGGTGCTGCAGGCTGAATATAAGAACGGGGCAAGGCACTGGAGCTGGCTAGCACAGCACAGAAAAGATGGGCAAAACTCCCAGGTCTGTCCTTTCATTGCCGTGTGAGCTTGGATCATCACTTAACCTCTCTGAGCCTTGCTTCCTGGCCTACAAAATGGGAATAATAGTAATCACTTCCTGTAGCATTGCATGAGGATCAATCTGATAATACCCACTGCATGCCAGCAGTGCTGGCCCAGTGTTGCTTCTGATAAATTCACAGCCTAGGGAACACAACTTCTGCTTCAGAGCTGGAAGGGCAGCAGGCAGAAGAGAGTGGTCAGCTAGGGGCTGTATCAACAGGCTGAAGGGACAGGAACTCAGAGCTGTGTTCAGTATATAGAATGCCAACTAGTTAAAGCTGGCCAAATCCCAGGGTCAGGCTCCCAGTACAGGGATGGTCAAATGTCAGCTCAGTGGCCATGGACCTAGGACCTTTCGGTGCAGGGTCTTGAGCCTCTTCAGGAAAGACCAGTTTCAAAGCAGCACAGTGAACTTTAGTCTGCATGAGTCTTAAACAGCAGTCAGTGGTCTCAGCACTGCCCTCTGCAACCACAAGCCGCAGGTTTTCTTCCTTATGTCAGCACCAAATATGAGACCAGGCAGTTGACCAGACTGACCACAGCCCTTGCAGAAGTGCATCAGGAATGTGGGCATGGAGTACAAGGGAGGCATTTGGGATGTGCAGGACACACCCACGCACAGCATCCCCACAGTGTTAGAAGCCAGCCTGGGCTCTGACGTGGCACCCTCCCTCCCTCCACAGAGCAGGAGGTGCGGTTCCGCCCTGCACACTGGCCACTACCAAGGCCAGCTGCCATCCACCACATCGTAGAGGACTTCTTGACAGACTGGACTGCCCCTGTGGGGCACATCCTACCTCTGAGGCGCTTCCTGGAGAACTGTCTGAACACCGATTTGCGAAGCTTCTATGCAGGTAATTTGAGTTTCAAGGACAAAAGACTGAGCCAGAGGTCCAAGGAGGGCCAGAAAGTTTCATGTCCTGTGGTTTCAGGACCTGAATCTGAAAATTCAACCCCCAAGCTCCTGGAGCTAGTGGGGGTAGGCTATATGTTCACTGAAGCCCCTCCCAGATCAGAACACCTGGAAATATGGAGTAACATGTCCTTTCCAAAGAGCTAGCAGGAAAGTCAGGGAACTCCCAGAGCTGGATACTATGAAAAGCACAAGCTAGTGTGGGGCCTGTGCTACCTGCTGATCAACAGTAGCCCAGGGCTTGGGTCTGTACTCACCAGACCTTGAGATGGACAGATAAGTGGAGCAGAATGGGAGGTCTATTTAGAGACCCTCAAAAAACTTGGATCTCAGTGGGTAATTAGAGGCAAAAAAAAAAAAAAATACTGCCGAGAAAGAAAGGAAATGCATGCTTTTTGGCCCTGGGTAGAATAAGGGGAAAAAAATTCACCTGTGAAAATGTCCAACCACCACACCCCACCCTAGTAAATTTAGGGCCTAACTTCCCATCCTCATTGTGTGTGGTGCAGAAACCACAGAAACAAATTCAAGCCTTCCTTTGAGAAATCCACTTTAAAACTCGTCCTTGAAGAATCCCCACAGATGAAGTTCCAAGGAACGTGAACTCCCAATCAAAAACCATATAACAATGATATAAGCCAGTATGAGGGTGTGTTAGCAGAAACAAAGGATCAAACCTACAAAGACTGCAGGGATCAGAACAAAGACTGCAGGGATCAGAACAGCCGTGTGTAGACTCTAAAGTATGTTTAATGTATCCAATGAAATGTTTTTAAAGATTACTCGAAGTACAATAAAGGAAAACTTTCATTTTGACTGGATGTCTAGCTCGGTGGTAGAGCACTTGCCTAGTGTGCATAAGACCCTGGCTTCAATCCCCAGCACAGAAACTTAGAACTCTGACAGCCAAACCCAAAAAGGGAACTGGGAGAGATGTCAAATGATCCAGAGGGAGGACTGATTGAAATAAGCCAAATTTTTTTTAAGTCCTTGAATGTAAATATCCATGTTAATAGGCTTAGGAGCATGGCTCAAGTGGTAGAGCGCCTGCCTAGCATTGTGAGGCCCTGAGTTCAAAACCTGGTACTATCAGAAAAAAAAAAATCTGGTGAACACCTATTATATGTCAGAGACCAACTCTGGCCTGGTCAGAGAGCAAGTGTCCTTGCTTCATCCTGAGTCTACTTTGAAATAATGCTGAATGTGTTATGGAGATGGCTTGAGATAGTAGTTTACATTGGCAGTCTAAATATCTAAAAACAGTTCATAGAGCCAGAGCTAAGCAGTATGCAAGCTGTAGGCCTTGATCAAACACTGCCCCCTGAAATGTTAGAGACGAGAGCCCTCAGCTCCAAAACGCCTCTCAAGGAGTCCACAAAAATGCCAGTGTGTGCCAGGGAGCATACCCCACCCTGTGTTGTGGGACCCTGCCAGTGCATCATCCTAACCCTCCAGCCTCCTGTCTCCCCTTTCCGGATTATTTTCAACATTATAAGCCACTGAGTGGTGCTGCCTTGAGCTAGGAAGAATCCTTCCAGCAGAAGCCAGCTGGCAGGGTGGTGGACTCCCCTCCACCCTTAGCCATTGTGCAGCTGCTAGTTCTGGCCTCAGACTCCACTGGACATCTGTGTCCCCAGGCCCTGCAGAAGGGTGACATCATCAGCACCCTTGCAGTACTTCTACCATCCTCCCTCACATCTGCTCTCTTCCCTCTCTTCTGTCCTGCTAGTGCCTCCATACTGAAAGTCAGAGATAAGTAGGAAGGGATATTTGTGGAGCCCTTCTCAGCCTGTGAGCCATATGAGTCCCATCATCCTTCCTCAAGTTGCAGTGGGACCCCAGCCAGGTTCTAACACCATGTCTTACCACCTGTCTAACTCCCCCACAAGACTGAGCCTAAACCAAGTGCTGTGGTGTGTTCCTATAACCCCAGCACTCAGAGAATCAACAGTTCAAGGCCAACCTGGGATACATAGGGAATTTGAGGCAAGCTTGGGCTAGTGAGACCTGTCTCAAAAAAACCCCTGAGCCTATATCTGTTTCCTTCCTTTCCTTTTCTTTCCTTTTCTTCCCTTTCCTTTCCTTTTCTCAAATCCAAATGTTTGTGTCTCCTCTTACCTGTGAGAAATACCTGCAGGGAATATGTTCCAAGACCCCCAGTAGATGGCTTGAAACTATGGGTAGGACCAAACCTTATACTTGCAGCTGCAAATGGCTTGAGGTCACTCATGTCAGGGATCCCAAGCTGAAATTTCACATAGGCTCAATGATTGAACATGTTGGTGGTGATTTTCTGTTGATGTCTTCCACCCACAAATTGAATGCTTTTCCACTTTAACTAGCACTTAGTAATGCACTGTTTTCCTTAACTCTTGCAGTTTGAGGTGAGACAGAAGAACTGGCATGAATTTCTTTTTCCTTCTTCAAAATTTCACAGACAGAAGATGCATTCTTACCATGGATCTTGGCAACTGTAGCACACAATTTTTTTTCTTTCCTTACTAAGTCTAGAACTGTCACCTTTTCACTTAAAGGAAGTACCTTATGGTGTCTCTTTGGCATATCCAAATTGCCAGCATCACTGTCCTTTGCTTTGGGGCCATGATTAAGTAAAATAAATGTTACCTGAACACAAGCACTGTGACATTGTGACAGTCGTCTGATAACCAATATGGCTACTAGGTAACTAATGGACAGGTAGTGTATACACTGTGGATTCACCAGATAAAGGATGATTTCCATTCTGGACAGGATGGGACAAAAAAGTGCTGGCTTTCATCACACTACTCAGAACAGCTCACATTTTAAAACATAGGAATGGTTTCTTTCTGGAGGTTTAACTAAAACCCTGGAAACCAAAGCCACAGATAAGGGAGGACTACTGCACTTAGCAAAAGGCTTTTCCCCACCCTCTGCATCTCCATCCTTGTTCCCCAGAAGGAATTATTCCAGATCTTTTGGTTGTTGCTCCTAATGCCTTTGCTATTCTCAGAGCTTCCATTGCTTGTTTCTTCATATTTTGAAATAATCCATACCCACAGCTACTTTGTCACTGATCAGATTTAACATATGCACCAACCTTCTGTCGTAGCATCGACCAGGGTTTACCCATTTTATCTCCCCCGCCCCACAGTGTGTGGAACAGAACTTTTCACACAGAATTTATAACTCAAATATTGTCACAAGAGGCTCTGAGCTCAAAATGAATCTGACCACTGAATTCTCACCATGCCCAAGCCAGCTTCCAGAAGAGCAGGCTGAGGGTTAGCTCTTGAGGGACTGACCTCCGGCCCCAGTGTGGCTCCACACACAGCATCGTGTTCCATCCTGATATCTGGGGACCAATCATGTCTGTGGTGTCCTTTCATTTTGAAGCCTCATGGAGGGTCATGAGCCATGACCTGCTCAGGTCATACATGAGACACCCAGAAAGGTCAGCTCCCAGATTCAAGGGCTGGAGGGTACTGGTCAAGGCCCCTGGTGAACCCCTCAGGCCACCAGAATTGGCCACTCCTCTCCCTGTACCCCTCTCCCCTCCCCACAGCCTAACTCCTTCTTCTTTTGCCTTTGTGTAGAATCCTGTTTCCTGTTCACCCTTACACGCCAGAAGCTGCCCCCCTTTTGCCAGCAGGGATACCTGAAGATGCAGGGGCTTGTGAGTACTGAGCGCCTTCGGCACCACGGTGTGGAGAGCAGGCTCCTAAGGGACTATGCTGCCATGGGCCAGCACCTGGATGACAGCAGCCTGCAGCCTGGCAACCGTAAGCCAGTTGGTCACCATCTGGCTCCAGGGCCTCTTATCCAGTCCCTTGACAGAGACAAGGAGGAGCTCTGACTCTCCCCTCAACCTATGGACACAGTGGCCAGGCTGCTCCAGGCCTTGGTCAGCCCTCCTCTTTTCCTGCAGCCTCTCTTCCACCCATCAGGACTGCCCAAGACCACTCAGCTCTTCACCAGGAGAAGAGCAGCCTCTGTCAGGTGTGAGATGCCTTCCACAGCCAGCTCATCTCCAACTGGACCATTGCTGGACTGCTCTGTCCCCTTCCAGGGTCCCCTTTGCAGATGGTCCTGGATCCACCTGTAGAGTATGTGACAGCTGAAACCCACCTTCATTGTTAAGAGGGTTTGCAGAAAGACCTTAACATCCTCAACAACATAATAGACAGGTGGGATTGTTGCTCTCGGACTACCACAGAAGACCCCAGCTCAGAGGTGTTGAGTCCCTCCCAAGCTCCCCAACCAGGAGTGCCTGTCCATGTTCCACTCTTTCCACACTGCCCTGCCCTCCCTGACCCCTGCTCTCAGCAGGGTTTGGACTAGTAGAATGCACAGGGGCCATCCTGGCTTGTCATTACAGGCCCCAAGGGCTGGCATGGGGCAGAGATAAAAAGCTCCCTGCAAGCCCGAGGTTTCTTCCAGGCAGTGGACTCAGAATCTGCAGCCCTTGGGTCCCTCCTTATCCCTGCTCTCTGGCATCTTGAACCACACCTCTTTTTGGACCTGCAGCAAGCTTAGGGCAACTGTTTTCCTGCGTCCTACGCACCATGTGCAAGGAGGCTTTCACCAGTGCTTTTGTATAGTAACCCAGTTCTAGTTCCCTTGCTGGTCAGCTCCTCTTTTTTTCTCTTTGTCACCAGAAGTCCTCACTCTCCCCTCAGGGTTTCATTTGTGAGGAGCAGAGGGAAAGCATTTGTCCTCACAAGAGGACAGGGTTTCTTGGAAACACCCCCAACACACGCAGTGGATGCTTTCTCCCTGGCTCTCACTAGTTCTTCATGAATTGCTCAGAATTCCAGAGACACCAGCTTTCTGGACCAAAAGCCCCTTCCAGGAGCATCCTCTTCCTGTCAGGCAAGGCCCAACCCCCCTTGGCTACCTAGTCTGCCATTCTGCTTGCTTGCAGTCACCTCTCTCTCCAGTCACTCTGAGTCCCAGCAGTGGATCTCCAACAGCCTTCTGCTGTGGGAATTGTCTACCCTGCAATCCTACTTGGGATAGTTTGCACAGGCCCAAAACTTCTAAAGTAAGGGTTTCTCCCTCACCCCAGGATGTAGGATTCACCACATTTCATGTGTATAATAGGTAAACCAGAACTGGCCTCTATCATCCCACCCTGTCCTTGTCTAAAAGCATTTTTTAAATGAATCTTTTAATTAGGACTGTGCCAAAACATCCAATCCTGCTCCACACATCTCGCCCACTCAATTACTGAGGTTGGCTGAGCCACTTGTTCCAATAAAAATTAGAGATACAGTAGCAAGTAGTTGACTGATGCCTAATTGTGTGACATCTGCTGCTTCACCTTCATCCACCAATTTGTTCATTCCATCAAAACATCAGCCAGCCTTACTTGTTTTTAGCACAGAGGATTCCGTTCCTGCTCACTGATTAGAGATATCTTCCCTGATTTCCTCGTTGTCAATTAATAGTTGGTTCCAAACAATGAAGAACATTGCTGCATTTGCCTAATCCCCATCTAGACATCACTTGCTTCTAACTATCCCCCACCTCCTCTGTTCTTGCCTGACCTTGGGTGCCCACTGCTTTAGGGTTGCCACCCTGGGGATAGCCACCACCCCTTCCTGCTGTGTGGACTCACATGTTCAGCTTGGTTGTCTCTCTTCTTTTTTTTTGGCGAGTCTGATGCCCACCAACAGAGCTCATCCTTTCCACCTGGACCAAGTTCCTCATTCCTTTTAGCTGAGGACTGGCTTCAGTCACTCCTCCTTTTAATATAAAGTTACTGGCACAAAGTAGACAAGTCAGTGAAACAACCCACTGGCCAGAAGGAGACCCTATTTGAAGTAGGAAGGAGGGGATTTTACACAGGGCCGGTTCAATGATAGAGAGCCTGCCCAGAATGTGGGAGGCCCCAGGTTCAATCCCCAGCACTGTGAAAAAAAGTAACCTCAAACCAATGGAAGATATGCAGGACTGTGCCATAAATAATGCTAGATGAGCTGGTTAGTAGTTTCAGGGAATCTTCATTTTATACCCTATTTCATACTAGACTTCAAAATTGATTCCAAATCAACTTTTGTTTTTTTCAGTACTGGCTTTGAACTCAAGGCCTTGTGCTTGCTAGACAGGAGCACTACCACTTGAGCCAGGCCACCAGCCCTTTTTGCTTTAGTTATTTTTCAAGTAGGGTTTCACATTTATGCCCAAGCTAGCCTGGACTGCAGTCCTCCTATTTACACTTCCTGTGTAGCTAGGATGACAGGTGTGCAGTGCCATACCCAGCTTTTATTGCTTGAGATGGCTCTCCTGAACTTTTTGCCTGAGTTGGCCTTGTGATCCTCCCTGATCTCTGCCTGCTGAGTAGCTAGGATTGCAGGTATGAGCACCACATCCAGCCTATAGGGAAACTTCTGAAGTCTTACAGAAACTAGGGTTGAGAAGAGGGTGCTATGCTCAGAGAAAGGACTTTCTAAGTTTAGAATAGAAGAGTTCTTCACAAAAAGATTTAACATTTCCAGGAACACCCAGCCCCTACTAATTAATATGCCCATTTGGAGAAAAAGTTTAAAAATAAAAAGGCAAGATGCTGGGGACCGATGGCTCACACCTGTAATCCTAGCTACTTGGAAGGCCGAGATCAGGAGGACTTCCATTCAAAGCCTATATTGAAAAAACCTAACACAAAACAGTGCTGGCACTTGCCTAGCAAGCACAAGTTGCTTTCAAGTTGAGTTCAAACCCCAATGCTGCCCCCCCCCAAAAAAAGCAAAATAGCATGAGCAAAAGAATTATAGTGGAATATAACATACATAAAAGCCAAAAAGCCAACATTACATAAATAATTGACATAAATGACAACTATGAAAAACAGTTAAATAAACTACCACCCTTTGAACTATCATACAGCTCTTAAAATGATGTGGAGAGAGATCAAGAACTACAAATGCACATGTAATAAGTGAAAAGCAGGATATGAAATGGCAGTTGACCTCTTGTGTACAATTAAGAAACTACACACAGGGGAAAGGAAACCTGGAATGTCAGCAGGGCTTCCACTGAGACTGGGAGAATAGGGCTTTCGTTCTATTCCTTCTTCCTCTTTTTTCCAAGTTTATAATTACACTGTATAGTAAAACAAATACATTTAGTTTAAAAAAAAAAATCTCTGTCCTGGCACTTGTGGCTCATGCCTGTAATCCTAGCTACTCAGGAGGCAGAGATGAGGAGGATCAGGGTTTGAAGCCAGCCCAGGCAAATAGTTTGTGAGACCCTATCTCAAAAATATCTAACACAAAAAGGGCTGGTGGAGTGGCTCAAGGTATAGGGCCTGAGTTCAAGCCTCGGTACCACAAAAAAAAAAAGTAACTTTGATTTTGAAACTCAGACTTGCTGGGGGCAAGTAGACATGGGAGCCCTTCCAGGAGGACCTGCCCTGCTTCCTTAGTCCAGGTGGGGCCCAGAGTAGCATTCCCATAGAGGGAACCACTCTCTGCTCCTGAGTTAGGAAGCTCCAAGTGTCAGGGTAAACACATGCTCAGGCCAAAGAAGGGACTGAGCCACACAACAGAGTCTTCCATCCCACATGATAGAAAGTAAAAGATAAAAACCCTCATTTTGTGGGGACCTCCTGGAGTTAGCCTCCAGTGCACCGGGGAGCCCTAAATTCCTTTTTCTTCATTAAAGTGGAAGTGTTCCTAAAGTCTGTCTGGAAATCAGCTCACTGAGAAGTGGTGGCCCATACCTGTAATTCCAGCACTCAGGAGGTGGAGGCAGGAGGATTATGAGTTCAAGGCCAGCCCGGGCAAAACAAAAAAAAAAGGGTGAATTTGTCTGCTATGCTAATTATAACACATCATATGTTGACTGAGCACATACTAAGTGCCCAGAACTATGCTACACATGTTCAAAAGGTATACTCACAAATTCTTGGACATTTTCCCATGTATTAGTCAATTTTCCATTGCTGCAACAAAATATCTGAGGCTAGATACTTTATAAACAAAAAAGGTTAATTTAGTTGGAGGTTCAAGAACATGGTGTTGATGATGCCTGCTCAGCTCTAGTGAGGACTACCTTGGCTACATCACATGGTAGGTGGTATCATGGCAGGAGCCCATGTGAAAGGGGGAGATCACATGAAAAGATAGGAAGCCAGAGAACAGGGAGGGGTCAGTCTTCCCTTTTATTAAAATGCTCTTGTGAAAGCAACCAGGCTTCTACAAGAACTGCTTGCAGTTCTCTGCCAAGGGCACGCCCCCCATGACCCAATCACCTCCCACTAGGTTCCACCTCTAAAGGTTCCACAGCAGCATCCTGGGGAACAAGCTTACAACATATGAACCCTTGGGGGACAAACCACATCCAAACCAAAGCATCCCACAACAAGAAGGAGACTAATCCCCCACCTGTTGAGTGCGGGCTGGACTTAGCAACTCACTCCTAGCAAATAAAACAGCAGAAGTAACAGAATGCCATTTCCAAGATTAGGTTATAAAAAAAGACTGGGTTCACCAATAGAGCACCTATTAATTGTCCAATAGTCTCTCTCTCCCTCTCTCTCTCTCTCTCTCTGGAGTCACTCACTCATTCTTGGGGAGGCTACCCATTATGTCACAAGGACGTTTGGGAAACCTATGGAAAGGCCCGTATGTCACAGAACAGACCTGCCAGCAACCACGAGTGACCGTGAAAGTGGATCCTACTCCGCCAGTCCAGATGAATATAACCCCAGCCATCACCTTCATGAGAGGCCTGAGCCAGAACCACTCAACCAAGCCACTCCAGATTCCTGCCTGAAGACAGTGATGGGGCCCTTGGCAAATCCACCTCCTTTAAGCCATCCTCTAGATAGTGGCCATCCACTTATCACCTTCCTGTGGGTTTTCTTCCTGCAGACACCGGGTGACAGAATTTAAATAATTCTCAGAACTTGAAACGTGTGTGGCTCCTACTGGAATTCAGATTACATTACAGATGACCTCAAAAACAGAATTAAACCACTCCATCAACTGGAGATCCTAACACAGGCAGGGTGGGGTGACCCAAGA